TCAACGACTTTAAAGGGCAAATGCTAAGTAAAAATTAATTGATATAATTTACATAAGAATAATTTTTTGAGTTATTCAACCTGTTTTTTTTTTAAACAAAAACAATAAAATGAACCATTGTTTAATAAACATGCCTTCATGTCAGATTAAACTCCCGTTCATCATATCTGCGACCAATAAAACGTTTAGCATTAAATATAGTATAATAAGGATTCATACCAACTTGATTTCTAGCAGCATTTCCAAAAACCTGTTCCATTTCAGTGAAAACAACATATGAAAGTGTTGTTCGATTACCCTGATCATTGTCAATAATTTCAACTCTATCATTTTGCCAAACACTGACACAGGAGTATGACGTTCTCAAATCGATGCCAACTATCAACTTTAAAATTTTAATTTATTTACATTTTAAGGTTTCGTTATACATATTATTAGTAACTGTATTTAGTTCTCTTACCGCTGCTTTACTGCTTATTAGATAACAACACAAATTGTTTAAGTCAAAATAAAACATATAAATTCAACAGAATATATTTGAATTGTAATATCAACATTCTTTATATAGTAAAGGATCATTATAAATATTGAAAAATTAATCGATGAAAATACTGTACATATTTACTACTGTAATAATGAAACACATTGTAATCCGAATGTATTTGCTTTATTTGTTTTCTTAATATGGCAACCTATTATATTAAATGAACAACAAATGACTATGGGACGAATTGTCCTCTAGACAAATGGCTACTGTTCTCGTCAATTTGTCCACAGGATAAATGTTTCTTGTTAATTGAAAGTATAAAAACGATGGTCTTTTGACCGAATTATGAGGGCATGACCTAAGTCTTTAGATTAGAAATTTCCTCCTTTTGCTTAGCCGCAGCAGTTTCGCAAACAAATATTTATTTGTTAAATAAAATTGACTCTAGAAGCAAGAGTAGGTATTGGAATCGTTTCAAAAACTAAAATCGAATGTCGAATCGGCAATAATCGATTTTTGAAACAATTAATTGGCTGTTAAAAATGATTTTCGATTCCAGTTTTGAAAGTTAAAAATCGGCAAAATCAGTATTAATTTTTAAATTTTTTAAGTATCGAATAGTTATAAAGCTTTTAAAAAAAATATTAAGGCAAAATTTGTATTATAATCTTTATTTATTAGAAAATGAAGCTAAAAGATGTTAATGTTTTATGTTTCACAAGTTTTGAGCAGGCACATGTCATTTTTTTAAATTTAGCTTAACTTTAATATGAAACTTTTATCAAGCTTTCATACAGGAATTTCTAATAATAAATGAATGAATCGATTATTACTATTGGTTCGACTTTGTATTTATTTTAAAGCTTCAAAATTTCGTCATTTAATTGTTTACTAGTAGAAAAGATATCTATAACAGATTAATCAGACTAATGAAAATCGCTTTAAAGTCAATATTATATTATTGCAAATTCAAAATCGTATAAATAATGGGCTTAGAACAAAAGATGAAAATTGTTATTACATCCGACTTTCGACTTTGGCGATTTTCCAACTTTCGATACCAAACCCTAGCACAGTGATTTCATTAATTAATTCCTGCATAATTTATTGCTTAATTCAAATCTTTTGCTGTTTTTTCATTTGTTTATAAATATAAACTTGAAAGAACTGAGTAAAACAATATTTCCATTATAATAAAATTAAACAAATTTCGTTTGGAAAATCATTTAGTTCTTCCAAAATTAATTTTCATAATTATCTTTTTTTTTGAGAACTTAAAGTCTCAAGAATAAAAATAAATATCTTTAAAGTTATTTTTTTATTCATTATCTTCTGTTAAAATCCACGATAGATTTATCAGTATTTAGAAAGATGATTTTGTATAGAAGAAAGTATCTTTTATCACAACAAAAAAAAATGAAAGGTTTCGCTTATATTTTGACGAGAAATTCCTTTCATATTTTGATAATTTAGATCTCAGCTTTAATTATTAATATTGTTGGTATGGTTAGTACAATTACAGTTTAAATATGGTTGTAAATTCACCCTTCCCCCTTTTTAATAATGATATGGAGTTTTAAATTTTTACTAATTTTATATTACAATAATATAAAATCATTCATTCGTGTACTTTAGTCAATAAACATTTACATCACAATGCAATCCCTATATTCCTTTTCCACTTTGCAGCATGCACAAAAGATGATTACTTAAAATTTTTTTAAACTTACTTGCAATATCAAATAAAGATGAAGTAAAATCATAGGACCCATATTTGAATGCCATCATAAATTAATTAAATGATTTGATATATCTCGTTCCATCCTTAAAAGTTACGAGAATTGAAATCAAATTAAATAACCCTTTATGAAATAGTTTAAATATTATTCGATCGTGTTTATTATTTCTGGGGCATTGTGTCCCATTTCTGTTTAGTTTAAATTTTTAGTATTTAGTTAGACTTTTTGTAGATCGCAGGTTAGCATATATCCCCTTTCCCTTTATTTTGTAACTATA